CCGCGGGGCGCGGGGGGCGCCCCCCCCCCCCCCCCCCGGACATGGACGCGGGACGCCCCTCTAAGGACACGGGGACTCCCCGCCTCCGCCGGGCGCGCCCCTGGGGACCCCCGCGCCCCTTCCCCGCCCGAGCTGATGGGCAACCGGGGCACCGCCCGGTCTGAGCGGGGCCCTCAGGTTCCCCGCGCCCCCGGGAACCTCCGCGCGGGGCACAGCCCCCAGGACCCCACCGCTGCCGCCGGGCAAGGTGCTCGAGGTCCGCGGTGCCCCCGTCCGGTGGGGACCCCCGCCCGCCGGCCCGGCGCCCCCCGCCCGTGTCCCCGCTCACCGCGGCGCCGCCTCCCCCGCGCGCAGCCGCCGCCGCGCCTGGCAGCGGCCAGACCGCCCCGTCTGGCGCAGAAACTACAACTCCCAGGAGAAGCCGCGCGTCACCGCACCCGCCCCGTCCCGCCCCTGCGCCGAGGGGGCTGCCGGGGGCTGTGGTCCGCGCTGAGCGGGGCCCACCGGGGCCGGGCGCCGCGCACGGGCGGCCGGAGCCCAGCGGCGGGGACAGTGCGGGGGCCGAGCCGGCTCTGCGGGGTGGGCACAGTCCGACTGCCCGGCGGGCATGACCCCAGTGCTGCCCTGCTCCAGATCGCAACACATTCTGTCGTTGTCCTGGTTGCCCGCTAGGTCCTGCCGCCACTCGGGGTGGGAGAGCGGGGTATACCCAGCCCCGCGCCTGGCGACCCGTGTGCGCGTCCGGCTGTCAAGGGCTGGAGCCCGGTGGGGCTGTGCTGGTGCTCTCGGGGCTGGGAAATGTCCTGCCGGCACGGGGCAGGGTCCTGCGCCGGGGCCAGCTGCACCCTCCGGGGCCCCGCAGCAGCTCGGGGGAGCCGCAGGCACGGGCCGCCTCCGCTCCGCTCCCGGCCGAGGCGGCCGGTCCCGGGAGCACACATGGTTAAGGCAGCCGCGGGCGCACATCTGGCGGGGGAGGGCTGCGAGCCTCGGCCCGCGCCTCGTTGCCTCCTGCGCTTCCAAAAAGTGTTATTTCCGCCCGGGCCGAGCGAGGAGAGGCAGCTCCGGAGCGGGAGGCAGCGATCGGCCGTGGGCAGGCTCTGCGCTGGCCCTGGCGATGCTCTAGGGCAGCAAAGGGAGAAGCCGTGCCCCAGAGGTAGGTGTGGGGCAGCTCTGGGAGTCCTGCCGCTCCCTCCCGGAGCTGCAGCGCGCCGTGCTCCATCTGCGGGCACTACCCGGCACCGGGAGGCGGCTCCGCCTCGGCCAGCGCTCGCCCGGGTGTCCTGGCACTCGCCCAGCGGGGCGGGTCGGGCCCTGTGCCCCCCCAGCCGAGCGAGGCCCTTGGGCTGCCTGCGAAGGAGCAGTGCGGAGCACACGGCACAGCCCGACCCACCGCAGCTCTGGGAGAGCACACATCCCTCCCCAGCCCTGCCCCAGCTGCGTTCCCAAAAATCCCGTTGCCACGAACACATCAAGCCCAGGCTGGGCCACCTTTGGCACCTCTTTGCGGGTCACAGTGGCTGTTGAGGTCCCCGGCATGTCTTGCTGGTGCTACAGAAGCTGGAGGGCTGCAACTACCCCATGCTCCTTCCCCACATCTGCCCGGTGCAGCCCCCACCCTGCTGCCTGCCGGGTCTGCCCTGATCCAGGGGAAAAAAAGGGCTCTGCAACCGCTCCAGTGCCTGTAGCAGAACACGGGGGACCTGGCCCACCAGCACAACCCCAGGGGCACAGTGGTTCTGGCTGCTGTGGTGCAGGAAAGTTTGTATCCATCACCCTAAAAGGAGAGGGTGAGCTGGGAGTGCAAGTCCTGCTGCCTCCACACTGTCCTGAGCCCCTCATCCCACCCCTAGAGTTTGTTCCGTTTCATCCTAGTCTTCATCTCCATCTGGAATGTATTTTGGGATGTTTTGACTTGCAGTCCCAAGGCTTCTGCTGCCACTGAGTTTAAATCTCTGACTGCTCCTGGAGCGCAGCCAAGGCTGATGGGAAAAGCCGCGTCCCTCGGCAGGGCTGTGTGTGCCTGGGCACAGTGGGCACCTCCTGCCCAGCACACCTGCGGGGTGCAGGGGGGGCACGCTGGGGGCCCAGCGAGCCCCGAGTGCTGCTGCGCGCACCACGCACTCGTCTCTGTTCCCGACAGCCTGGGAAGCACTGCCTTCCACCATGGGAACTTCCTGGTGAAGGGTTTCTCCTCGTGGAGCGGTTCCCTGTGGCACTGCGCTTTCCCTAGGGCCAAGCCTGCTCCAGATGCCAGAGGAATGCCTGTTGTGGTGGTCCCAGAGCCGAAGGAAAGCCACAGGCTTCCCAAACCCCCGGCATGCTCCATGCCATGTTCAGTGCTGCGTGTCTGGCGCAGCTGGAGCAGAGCCAGGGCCAAGGCTCCCCTGGGTGATTTCTGTTCACAAGCCCCTGGCTGGCCCCCTCCATGCTTCCATCCATGGAACCGCTTCTCCCCTGCCTCCCTCCACACCTGGCAGCACTGAGACAACGGGGTGAGAGACCGAGAGACAGAGGCACCGGGAAGTGCATGAAGGGGCCAGGCCCTTGGCAGAGGGTTTGAGCAGCAGGAAAAGCCCTTTGGAGCCTTTCACAATCCCTCCGCCCCTTCCCAGCTCCAGTGACTCATAATCCGGGCATCTACCCCCGGCCTCAAACGCCCTCCGCACCCGCTGTGGGAGCACGCGTGGTCCTTGGGACCCCACACCTGGGGACAATGGTAACAGCCACCGATCACTGATGGAGACCCCGGTGCACACCAAAACAACAATATTCTGTCCCCAAATCTGCCATGGCCTGGCTCAGCCGCAGCACACGGGACAGGGCTGAGAGCGCCCTTTGCTCCTGGGGTGCCTCGGGGTCCCGGCGAGCCAGTGAGCGCAGCCGGGCGGTGCAGCGGGAGGGGAGAACGGCAAGGGCCGCACCCATATCCCACCCCAGGGAGGCACCTGGCTGAGAGAGGAGCCTGGGTAGCAGCCATCCCCATCCCGGCTCGGACCCTGCTGCCACGGGATGCCCAGCGCTGGGCAGGGCTACACCCCTGTTTGGCCAAGGCTGTCCTGGAGCCTCGGGGCCAAAGGGTGGCGTGCCCGGCCCCACGTCTCCAGCAGATACGGTTTTGATAATAGAGGGAGGGGTCGCGAAGCGCCCGGGCTGGGCCACAGTGCCACCACCACTGCAAATATTAGTTTTGGCCCCATACAGGGTGTGGGCTCTCCCTGTGGCAGCCAGCTCCCAGATAGGGCTGCCAGCCCACATCCCTCTTTTTGGAGGAGTGGGTCTTGTCCCCTTGCAAACCCTTGGGCTGGCAGCCCCAGGGCACAGGAGCCCCTCGCAGCAGTGGGGGGCAGATGCCCTCTCTGGGCCCAGCTGGGGTCCCACACACAGGCAGTGCTGCACCCTGACATTTGCCCCATGGCATCTGGAGCTGTCTGTAATTTTTCAGGAGCTGACATACTAAATTGCTGCTCTTGGGTGTCCATGGGAGGCAGCTGAAGCCAGGCTGAGCAGGAGCAGCAGCAGTTGGTGCAGGACTTGGCCTGGTCAGAGGCTGCTGCTCTGCTCCACTCTCAGCTCCTGAGGTAATCACATCTGCTGTATGTGCCAGGGCTCAGGGGCTGCAAGGGTCCAGCCCTCATGCTGGTGAGCCCAGAGCCCCTAACTGCCCCAATGTGGATCTCCCCTGGTGCTCACTGGGGTGACGCTGTTCCACAGCTCAGCCAGAACCTGGGGGCTGTGCAGAGCACAGGTCCTGCCCCAGCTCGGGGCATGGTTGGGCTGGGAGTCTCCTCATTCCTGTCCTCCTCAGCTGTCCCTGGCACCTCACAGGGCACTGCCAAGGCATGGAGGGGCTGTGGGTGCATGGTGTCCTGCTGATCTTCCTGCTGCCCTGCCCTGTGGGGAGCCAGACCAGCTCCATCCCTGGTCAGAGATGGTGGACAGACCCTGATGAGGCCCCATCCCAGCACCAAGCTGCCAGGTGAGGGGACCCCAGGGCTTGGGTGCTCTGCAGTGGGGGGCCAGGGCAGCCCTGGCACCGCAGAGGACCCCCGCCCCCCCGTAGCTCCCTGTTGCGCTTTGCTTTCTGCCTTGCCAGGGCCACACAGGAGCAGAAGGCTGAGGATGCCCAGGAGGGGCTGCCCCCACAGCCCCGCTGTGTCCGCTGCTGCCCCCCACCCGAAAAGCGCTTCTACCCCCAGTACCAGCCCATGCCTCAGATCAACATGACCATCCTGAAAGGTGAGGGCTGGCAGGACCCCACGCTGTGCTGTCAGCATTGCCCCAGGTCCAGCGCTGAGCTGGGCTCTCGGTGCCAGCTCTTGGTGGTGCCAGTGGTCCTGTGCCCTGCACAGACAGAGGGCAGGAGCCACACTGGGCTGTGAGCAGCCCCTGCTCCAGTGGCTTCTGGGCAGCAGCATCAGAGCCTGGGGAGGGGCAGGGGCAGGACTGGTGGCTTCCTGCTCCCTCTATCCATCTCTGGGGAAGGGGATTTCGGGGTGCTGGGTTCAGCTCTGGCCCCTGTCTGACAGCCCAACTGTCCCTCCTGCTCTGCCCAGGAGAGAAGGGGGACCGCGGTGAGCGTGGCATGCAGGGCAAGTTTGGCAAGACGGGGGTGGCCGGCAGCAGGGGCCACGCAGGGCCCAAGGGACAGAAGGGCAGCATGGGCGCCCCCGGGGAGCGCTGCAAGAGCCACTACGCCGCCTTCTCTGTGGGCCGCAAGAAACCCCTGCACAGTAACGACTACTACCAGACCCTCATCTTCGACACGGAGTTGGTCAACCTCTACGACCACTTCAACATGTTCACGGGCAAGTTTTACTGCTACATCCCCGGGATCTACTACTTCAGCCTCAATGTGCACACCTGGAACCAGAAGGAGACGTACCTGCACATCATGCACAACGGGGCGGAGGTGGTGATCCTCTACGCCCAGGTGAGCGACCGCAGCATCATGCAGAGCCAGAGCGTCATGCTGGAGCTGAAGGAGCAGGATGAGGTCTGGGTGCGGCTCTACAAGGGTGAGCGTGAGAACGCCATCTTCAGCGATGAGTACGACACTTACATCACTTTCAGCGGCCACCTCATCAAGTACAGTGGGGACCCCTGAGCACCAGGCCCCTGCACTCCTCCTGTGCCAGGCCAGGTGGCCAAGGGGCCCCTGTCCCTCTCATCCCAGGAGTGCCACCCCCATTATGCTGTTAGTCACCCTAGTGCCACTACCCCCAGCAGCTGCACCAGTGTGAATTCCCTCACTCCAGCGCCTCAAGGCTAGCTAGACACAACTGGAAGAGTTGGAGCAATTTTAATCCCCTGCCACATTAGTTACCAGGAAGCAGCTGCTCACCTGGGGTGGGCAGGGAGCTC